GGAACTCCAAAGAAATCATACATGATGTCCCTTCTCACCACTCCTATTCAAGCTGAAGTTGTAGCTAGTGCAATAAGACAAGAAAAGGAAATAAAAGATCAACAGATTGGGAAGGAAGATGTAAAACTGTCTTTGTTGGCAGATGACGTGATTGTTTATATAGGAAACCCCAAAGAATTGACAAAAAATCTCCTGGAACTAATAAGCTTATAGCAAGGTTGCAGGATATAAAATTAATCTGCAAAATTCCATTGTTTTCCTATATACCAGGCAATGAACAGTTGGAATTTGAACTTAAAAACACAATACCATTTACATTAGCCAAAAATGAAATACTTAGGTATAAATCTAGCAATTGCCCTCATCGCGCTGGGCCCTGGAACCAGGAGAGTGCTGCTCTGGCTCAGCCCCCACCCAGCCGCTGAGCAGTGTGAACATTTGTGGGTCCTGAGAGTGGCTGTGAGATGAGGTTGTGTCCCTTGCTCGTACACAGGAGGTGCCATGTGCTGGCTGCCCAGCCAACACCCACAAGTCCCGTGCAGCCCTGCACTTAGAGGAGCTCAGTGTTCCACTGACATGCCTGGCCCTGCCCTGACACGTAGGCTCTGTATTATCCTGGAGGCTGGTGTAAAAACAGCCTGGGGGAGCTGTCTGACCTCCTTTAACATCACCAGGGGGAAGGAGGATCAAGACTAACAGCCCAAGGCTGATTCCTATGAGGCAGAGGTCAGCCATGCCTCCTCTCTCTGCCATCTCTACCAATTCTGACACCAACTGTCCCTCCAACGGCACCCTCCACTTCTGGGTACGATAATTCATTTCAGTGGCCACACAGAACTCACAGACCATACTCAACGATTGTGGGGTTTATTAGGGAAATAACAGGTTACAACTCAGGTTGAGGAACGCTCAGGATACAGTTCTTCCATCAGGACAGCCTCTTCCCAGCTGTGCTTGCAGGCATACCTTTCTCTGGCCCCTCGGCCTCTGCCCTGCTCGGGCAAGTGTTACAAAGCTCTTTTAGCCCCTGTCATTGAGTCCCCAGAGGCACCCCAGGCACTCAGCTTTCTCGCTCCATGGGCTGGAAAGCCCACTGCATGGTCTCTTGCTGGTCTCTCCTGCCACTGCTTCTGACTTCAGGGTTACAGCTCATTCTCTCTGTCGGTCTCCTGGATCAAGGAGCTTCTCAGCACAGGGATCCTGGGTCCAAAGGACACGATCTATGCTCCTGGCTATTCTTCCTTGGTGGTGGTAGGATCCTTTCCCTTGCCTCTGGGGTGCCTCATTTCAAGCCCATCAGGATGGCAAAACTGACCAATCCCCTTGGTGGGCTACACTTACCCTATCTGCACAGTCCCGCCCAATCACCTAGGTGGGAATTACAAGACCATGGCGAGAAAGGCCACACAAAATCGATCCATCGCACTGCAGCCGGGATCCACGTCAGAACAACACACTCCCCCCCTGAGTGCACCCTGTACCCCAGAGGCCTCGGGTAAGCCCCATAGCCCACACGTCAACACCCCGTCCAGGCACCACCCAGGCCCATCCACACCATGCCCATGCTGTCTAGCTCTGTCCAGCCCATCTAGCCATGTCCAAGCCCATCCATGCCCATCTAGCCCATCCAAACCTTGTTAAGGCCCCGGCCACACTCCATGCAGGCACCATCCAGTCCGTCCATGCCATTTGCGTGCTGTCCAGGCCACGTCCAGCCCATTTAGTCATGTCTATGGCCCCACCCAATGCTGTCCACATCCAATCCACAACCATCCGGGCCCACACACAACCCCCCCCGTCCACTTCCTGTCCACTCCATGTACAGCCCCTTCTATGCCTTGCCCATGCACCATCAAGCCCCATCCACGCCCCATCCACACCTCATCCATGTCTGTCCATCTGCTGTGCGCCCCATCCATGCCCCGTCCATACCTCATCCGTGTCTGTCCACCCGCTGTGCACCCCTTTCCACGCCCCGTCCATACCTCATCCGTGTCTGTCCGTACCTCATCAATGTCTGTCCACCCACTGTGTGCCCCTATCTATGCCCCATCTAGCCCCTGCAAACACCGGCAGCTCGGGAGGTGGGCTCAGGAGGAGGCCTGCACAGGCTCTGAGGTGCACAGGAGTTCTGGGGCACCTGGGGCCTGCTCTGGGGGAGGGGACACCGGCCCTGGCTGAGCTGCCCCGCCCCCCGCGTGACCTTCACCTGGGATATGCTTCCTTCATGTCTTTTTCCTATGCACACACTCCCTCCGCCAAACTACCCCTTCCGAGACTGGTACCCCACCTTTTAACGTGACATCTCATGGCAAGCCCTGCCCTAGATCATCGTTCACCGTGGGATGCTCTCAGCAGCGGGGGCAGAAAACCCCATTCTAAAGGCCTTAAAGGGTCAACACTGGGGCAGACACGGGTGAGATAGGACGAGAGTGGAGAGTGCGGATTCCAGGAGGCCCAGAGTCAGCCAAGGGTGACTGGGGCAACACAGGCTCCCAGGAAGTCAGAGTACTCGCTGAACTGGGGTGAGGCTCCTCCAGGCCTCGAGGGGCAGGAAGACCTCAGCGGACTCCGCATTACCCAGACTTTTAAAGGCGTGGATGAGGGTTTGTGGTCCGGGTACTACTGACTGCTTCATCCCTTCCCACTTCACAAACACTTCAGTTGTCTTCTATCCCTCACTACTGTCACTTCCATATTGCACATCCTAGCCTCTGACCCGGTCTCTGGTCTCCTGGCCGGAAGGGGCTGTGTTAAACATACAGATTTATCAACTATTTCTGTCACTCGCCAATCCCACGCTGGGGCCCACAACCCCCGGCCCGAGCTCCCAGGAGGCAGGCAGCAGCAAGTGAGGCAGGGAGTCGCCTGAGGCCATGCGGTGAGAGGGAGGGTAGCAGGTGCAGTGAGAGCGAGGGTAGCAGGGTGAGCACCAGTGGCCTGAACGCAGGTGAAGGTTCTTCCCCTGCAGGAGGAACATTCCAGAGGCCTTGGGGTCAGACTCCAGGGTCTGCAATTTGGCTCTGTCCAGTCCTGAAGTGGAAGCATACAGATAACCCATTAACCCATTGCCGTCGAGTCGTTTCCGACTCACAGGGACCCTACAGGACAGAGGAGAACTGCCCCATAGGGTTTCCAAGGAGCAGCTGGTGGATCTGAACTGCTGACCTTTTGGTTAGCAGCCAAGCTCTTAACCACTGTGCCACCAAATGGAGTCCTGGTGGCGAAGTGGTTGAGAGCTCAGGCTGCTAACCAAAAGGTCAGCAGTTTGAATCCACCCGCCGCTCCTTGGAAACCCTATGGGGCGGTTCTACTGTCCTATAGGGTCGCTGTGATTCAGAATCGACTGGACAGCGCACAACCACAGTCCTGAAGTGAGTTCTCGGGGAAGTGCCTCCCCGGCCCCGAGCTTCTACATTTCCATCTCTAAGAGATACCAAAAACTCATTGTCATCAAGTGGATTCCTACTCTTAGGGATCCTAGAGAAGGGTAATCCTGTTGTGCAAACTGATACCGAGTCAAGAGTAGAGAGACCAGTGGGGTAAAGCAGAGTCCAGAAACAGCCTCTCACATATACAGACTGTTGAGTTACAACAAGAGTTATTCTCCTATTCAGTGGGGGAAAGGATGGTCTCCTCTATAAACGGGGCTGGGTCAATCGGATATCTATATGAACAAAAAAGATCTCCGCCTCCCTGCCTGACGCCATTCACAAGAACTAATTTGTGATCCATCACAGAACTGAAGGTAAATGATAAAAGAATTAAGCTTCTAGAAGAAGACGTAAGAGAATACCCTCCTGGAAAAGCACTAACCAGAAAAGAAAATACGCTGGTCTTCGTGAAGATTAAGTTCCGTTCCTTAAAAGCAGAAGCAAGCAGCACCGCAGGGGATGTTTGCAGTACAGGCATCAGACATGTATCCGAAATGCACAGGGAACCTCTAAAATCCATAAGAAAGAGACAGACAACCCAATTTTAGAACAGAGCCGGGCGTGAACCCAGGCGTCGGGTGGCCTGGCTGGGCCCTAACCGTTCGACTCACGCCTCGTTGCCCACATGCCGAGAACTCGCGCGTTCCTCCTTAAACTGGGAGGCGGGGGGCGGGGGAGAGAGGGAGGGGGCAGCTGCTGGCGCGTCTCCGCGACTCCTCCCCCCCCGCGGGGTTGCCTTTTCCTTAGAAGGCAAAGCCCCAAGCCTCGCCTCCCGCCGGCGGGGAGTCGCGCCCTGCGCCCCGCGCTTGCTTCGTCCGCGACGCAGCCGGCCAAAGCCCCCGAGAGCGCGGGAGACCCTCCGGACCCGCGCTCCTGGCCGGCGCGGGCGTGGACGGGGCGGGCGCTGGGGCGGGGCGCGCGTCCTCGCGGGTTTGAATGGAAGGATCGAGATCACTGGAGTCAGCGGCGAGCAGGTCGTGAAGCCAGAACTCCGCCCCGGCCCCCGCGCCATGCGGTGGGAGAGGTGAGCAGGGGCACCCGAGCCATGGGAACAGCGAGGCCGGGAACAAACACCGAGGAGAACGAGGCCTGGAGGTGGGTGGCCCGGAGCCGGGGCCTGCGGACGGCAGGGCAGCCGGCGGGTCGCGGCCCTTCTCGGATCCCGCTGCGCAGGGCATGGGCCAGGGTCCTGGGTGTCGCTTGTTTCGTGCACGCTGGGCCGCGCCCGCCGCCCGCGGACTCATCTGCGAGCCGGGACACGGCGGCCCCAGGGCGAGTCGCCATTTCTAGGGGCCCCTCCGACCTCTGGCTGCGCGTGACCCGAATCTTTTAGACTTAATTCGGAATTTGAAAGACAACGTGACCCAGTGTCTTTTAAGATTGGGACCATAAAAACGGGCGGTTACCGAGGCGGGCCCCGCCCGGCCGGCTCCCCCGTGCGCCCCTGCCCGGCGCTCCGAGGCGATCGCAGCTCACCGCTGGGGCGCCCCTTCCCCACGCCCGCCGGCCAAGCGCGTTGGGGTAGTCTGTCCCCCTCCGGCCGCGCCAGCTGAGCGTTCTCTGCCCGTAGGTGCGGCGACCCCCGCTCGCGTTCCCGCCATGGAGGTACTGCGGCGCTCCTCGGTCTTCGCCGCCGAAATCATGGACGTCTTTGATCGCTCTCCCACCGACAAGGAGTTGGTGGCCCAGGCCAAGGCGCTCGGCCGGGAGTTCGTACACTCGCGGCTGCTGCGCGCCGGCCTGGCCTGGAGCGCGCCCGAGCGCGCCGCGCCCCCGGGCGGCCGCCTAGCCGAGGTGTGCGCCGTACTGCTGCGCCTGGGTGAGTGCGGGCCCAAGGGGGGCCTCCCAGGCTGGGCGCGGTCTCCCGCCGGGTAGAGAGCGGCGCGCTGGGGAGGCACCACCCAGGCTGGGCCCCCATCCTCCCTGGCGGCCTCCTTGCGCGGCGGCTCACCTCTCAGACCCTCAGCTTTGCCAGCGCAGCACAGATTTGAGACATTCTGGCCACACAAAACAGGACGGTCCTGAAAGAATGAGGCTTTGGTGGCTAAACCTCTGGAGTGACCCCCGAACTGAGCTGGGCACAAAAATCCTTTGAGGGACCACGTGTCCTGATGTTTGTTTTGGAAAACAGGCCCTTGTAGCTGCTGGCTGACGCTCTGTCTGAGCTGCTCCTTTCTCTGGGTCTTAAGGTCTCCCAGAGCCCCCTGCAGGATACTGGGTGGACAGGATCCCACAGGGATGTCCAGGCGGGGATAGACACCTGTGTATGTTTGTTTCTGGGGTGACACACAGCCCGGTAACTCCTCAACGTCTCTAGGGGTCCTGACACTGCATCCTGACTGATTGATCCACCAGCGAATGTTTACAGGTGCCAGGAGTGGGCTCTCAGGGGAGCCTGGGGGCGGGCGGGGCCGGGCCCTGGAAGGCTGGGGCCAGGAAGGGCAGGAAGCTGCAAGATGGACTGCTGAACTGGTGGCTTTCTGGGTGGGCTGTGGGGGAGAGGCTGGCCCAGGAACCAGCATCCAGAGGGAGTGCCCCATGAGAGGGTGTGCCTTACCCTTTCTGGGGCTGGCACAGGATCCCACATTCCACATGCCGTGCTGGCCCCATGAGAGGTTACCCCTTGTAGACTGGCCTGCCCAGGAGTGGGGGTGGGGGCACTCTCTGGCAGGGACGCACAGATGGGGACCAGCACTGACAGCTGCCAGGAAGAGGGTAGTATCCCCCTAAGGCTAGAGGGAGGGAGAGGTTTCTGTGTGCAGAGAGAGACCAGAGGCTGCAGGGTTTGGGGGTTTGGCCAGGAGTCAGAGATATCGGGGTGCACGGGCCTGATTGGCAGGACTGCCTGAGTCAGCCGCCCAGCGCCCCCTCCTCACGGGGCTGTGAGGACAACAGGGCAAGGGGCTCTCTGGAAGGCCCCTCTGGAGCAGATGAGTTCTTGGCCTCCCGAGACCCCCATGGGAGCCCTGGATGGTCAGGAGGAGGCCCTGGCTCTGCCCTGGCCTGCTGTGTGACCCCAGGGGCCCTGGCTTGCCCCTTCCCTGGGCTGGAGGGCTTTGATGGGAGGGAGAGCAGGACAAGCCAAGTGCCTGGCTGGGCCCTCCGTGAGCGTGGCCTTCAGGCCCTTGTCCAGCACCCACCCCCCATTCCCAGTGCCCGGGGCCCAGCCCCCTTCCAGATGCCTGGAGGGAGGAGACCAGGACCTCTAGGTGTTCACGCGCCGGCGCTGCCTCCCTGCACCTTAGCACCTCCAGGGCGTGGGTGCTGTGGGGCAGTGACACACAGGCAGCAGCAAGAAGCCAGGGTTGCGTCCCCAGCGGCCAGCCTCGGGGGACCAGTCCTCAGCAGCCCACACGTCTGCGAGGGAACGGCCAAGCCCGCCCGGAAAATTTCCATGCCGCCCCTCCCCCCATGCGGCCCTCCGCTTTAGGTTTTCATTAATTAGACAGAGAGCATCCGGCCCTAATCACTGGGCTGCCCAGCCTGCAGTGTCCCTGTTTGCTTCGGGGGAGTCATCCAGTTTCGCTGTGAAAGTCCAGGTGCTGTTCTCCCAGGCCCAGCAACCTGCTGCCTAGGCTGCTGTGGCGCGTGGGTGCGGCGGGTGCCGGGAGGCCTGGGCTGGTGGCCGCCGCTCCAGCACACTGTCGTCTCCAGGAGGCCCTGCGGCACGTGGGCGGTGCTGGGGTCTGGGCTGTGGCGATGACACCCCCGGGGCAGCGGTGGGGCCACCCACCAGTGTGGGGCCTTGGCTCGGCCTCCCTCGCTATGCTCTGGCCGCCCGCCCGCCCCCACACCCTGCTGCCTTCGTCGCCGTTGGGCAGGTCGGGTGGCAGCCGTGAGTCACCCACAGAGCAGCCGCAGCCCACGCTCCGCGCGATTCCTGCCCCACCGGCCCAGCCGGCTCACCTGGGGGCTGGCTTGTCAGGAGGGTGGGGCCCTGCAGAGGCAGGTCCAGGGGCACCCATGGCACCTCCCTGGCCCTTTGTCCTCGAGCCGTAGCGGGGTCAGGTGAGGTCAGGCGAGGGTCAAGTGGGAGGCGTCAGGTTAAGTGGGATCAGGGCAGGGCGGAATAGGGGTGGGGTCCAGCGCTGACGAGTGGGCTGGCCCAGTTGCCTCCGTGGTGGGTCAGGTGGGCATGGCCCTGTGACTTTGTCTGCCCATGCAGGGGACGAGCTGGAGCTGATCCGGCCCAGCGTCTATCGCAACGTGGCACGGCAGCTGAACCTCTCCCTGCAGTCCGAGACCGTGGTGACCGACGCCTTTCTGGCTGTGGCCACACACATCTTCTCTGCAGGTAGGCTGGCCGGCTGTGCCCAGGACGCCCCCTCTCGGCCCCACCCCTGGCCCTCCCCCAGCTCCTGGCGGCACCTTGGGCTCCCCGCCCACCTTGCAGCCTGCAGACATTTGGGGGGCTCCCCTCTGGGGCCCCTGCAGTCCAGAATCGCCCAACATTTAGCATTCCAGGCCAGACCCTCCCCTGCCTGCTGCCTTTCCCCATTGGGGTTCTTTATTGTTGAGTGAAAACCCAACCCCAAATGTAGTGATTTAGACCAGCCTAGTGGTTCTGAGAGTGACTTGGGCCCCCTGGACAGCTCCCCTGGGCCTCCATGTGGCTACCGTCAGGTTGGCGGGGGGCTGGCTCTTTGCTGAAGTGAGGAGTATGGTTGGCCGGAGCCTATCCATGGCCCTACGTGTGCTGGGTTCTGGGGGGGCTGCCGAGAGCAAGCCCCAGGAGGCCTGGTGGATGGGCCAGGTTCTCCTGACGGAGCCTTGGAGGTCACGCAGCGTCACAGCCGAATTCCGTGGGTCAGGGGGGCAGTCAGGTTCTCCTGACGGAGCCTTGGAGGTCACGCAGCGTCACAGCCGAATTCCGTGGGTCAGGGGGGCAGTCAGGTTCTCCTCACGGAGCCTTGGAGGTCACGCAGCGTCACAGCCGAATTCCGTGGGTCAGGGGCAGTCTGGCACAGAGGAGGAGCTAGACCAAGGGCAAGAGTGGCGGGAGGGGGCTCAGCGGGGTGTCCTTGGGGGATACAGCATGCTTCCTCCTGCCTGGTCTTTCTGGGTCACTGCACCCTCCTGAGTCTCCAGACGCACCACGAGGACGTGACAGTCCCCGTGAGGAGGTGACCATTGCCCTTCTCTGACATGTGACCTCGCTGTTCCCTCCACGGCTGCTTGCTTTCTGTGGGCTCCAGGCTGATGGGACCAGTGGCTCCTATCCAGAGCCCTTTGCTGGATACCCATCCTCCCTGGAGTCCAGGTCCCTGTGACCTTCAGACAGGTCCAGCCACTCAGTGGGTTCTCCCAGCGGGGCCCCTGCTGGCTAACACACCCAGGGCACCCCGACCAGGGTGTCCTGGAGCCTCCTGTCCTGGCCACCCCAGCTCTGTGAGTCCCCCAGGTGCGTCCAGGTGCCAGATGTGCTGTTGGTGAACTGAACCCTGGCTCAGTGCAGCCCCCGCCCCGCAGGGCCTGCACCATCTGGGTGGGGGTTACTTGGACCCCTCGTCTCTGATCAGCCGTGTGACTTTGGCCCACCCCTCCCCCACCCCAACCTAGGTGTCCTCATCGGTAGAAGGGACTGGCAGCCTCAAAAGCCACAGTCCTCACCTCGTGAAAATGCAGCCGGGGGTGGGGGTGGGGAAGTTGGGAGGGTCTACTGACCTCCGCCACCTCACAGAGGAGGAGGTGGCCCAAGAGGGGACCCTTGTGGCCCTCCGCGTCCCCTGCCTACAGAGACTCCTCTGGCCCTGATGGCAGGCCAGATGCCCGGGGCGCCCCCACCCCGTTTTCTTCACGCCATTGGCTGCTTCTCTGGTCATGGATCTCTGTGGCTAAGATGTTGGAAAGAGTGGGATTGGGATGCAGGTCCCCCAGAGTGTTTACAGCCCCGAGCCGGCTCCCGGGAAGGAGGTCCACCTGGGGTTGTCCCGTTGTCGTGGACTGTGTGGCACCCACCTGGGGGCTTCTGGAGAGGCCCAGACCACACCTTGTGGGGGCAGGTGATCACAGGTGCCTTGAGTCTCAGGCTGGACCCTGTGGGAACTGGTGTCATGGCGTGGGGGTGGGGTGGGGTAGCCAGTGGGTGAGTGACAGACTTGGGGGGGGCGCAGGCGTGCAGACCTTGCCCTTGCTCCTCAGGGCAGGCCCCAGCCTGGGTTCTGTACCCATCTCTGTGCCTTTGGACAACTGAAAACCAATCCAAGTGTCCAGGTTGGCCTGGAGGGGCAGGGGGTGGGTGGAGGTCCAGGCTGGACTCTGCGGGGGGTGGGGCCGGCCGTGAATGACACCGTGTGACAGATGTGTGGTCCTTGCGCTGGTGGGGGTGCATAGCAGGGCAGGCGAGAGGGCCAGGGAGACCAGGCAGGTGGGGGGGGGCACGGCATGGGGTGGTGGCGGGAGTACTGCACCCCGAGCTGGCGGCGGGGGGCACCCCCTTACTCGAGGGTACCCCCGCAGGTGCCTGGTCGGGGAGGTAGCAGACGGGCCCAGGAGCGGATCGGGGGTGGGAAGAGCGGGGGCAAGCTGGTGTCCAGCTGCTCCGGGCCTGGCGCCTGCATGTGGGTGGCCGTGGGCCTGAGCCCAGGGCCTGTCTCCGGGCTGTCAGGCGGCCGGTTTATGAGGCGCGATCTGGCTTTAAAAGGAAGGCTGTTTCTGAGAGGCAGCCCTGGCCTGCTGGGGGCTCTGACACTGGGGAGAGGGGGGAACCAGGTCACCTGGTGGTGGGGCCCAGATGAGCAGCCCACTCACTGCAGTGCCAGGCGTGGGGACAGCCTGGATGTGGGAAGCGCCCTGAGAAAGGTTCTGGGTCCTCAAAAGGGGAGGGCGCCCGACGCTGACGGGGCACAGGTGGCGAGGCTCGGTGTTGACCCCTGGTGCTTCCGTTTGCTAGCAGCCTCTGCACCCCGACTTGGCCCTGTTGCTGCTCTAGGGTGACTGTGGACCCCAGGCAGTGCCTCAGGGCTGTGTGGCCTGCAGCTGCTTTCTTGACCTCTCTGAGCCAGAGCAAGAGCAGGGCTCTGGGGGTGTGGGAGTGTGGGGGCTCTGCTGGGGTTCAGGGGGGGCTCTATATGGGCTGTATGGACGCTGCCAGGGTTCGGCACGTGTGTCCACTTCTGCCGATAAACGGCTCTCAGGCCAGCTTGCGATGTGGGCAGCTTGAGGACCACGGGGTAGGTCTCCGCTGTGGCTGCTCTGCGTCTCCAGAGCCTGGTGTCAGGAGAGATGCAGGCCCCCTTGATGCTCTTCCTGGCCTTGCTCTTACTGTGGGCTTGAAACTCCTTTCAGAAGAGAAACGAATTCATTTTCTTCTTATTATTATAAGAGTGAAATATTTTATCACAGAAAGATCAGAAAATACAGAAGAAATATATAAAGAACTCCTACAACTCAACAAGAAAAAGACAACGCAATTTAAAAATGGGTAAAGGACTTGAACTGACATTTCTCCAGAGAAGATATACAAATGGATAAGAAGCATATGAAAAGATGCTTAGCACCATTGGTCGTTGGGGAAATGCAGATAAAAATCACAATGAGACACCATGTCAGGATGGCTATTATCAGAAAAGTGGGTGAAGATGTGGAGAAACTGAGACCCTCATCCACTGCTGGGGGAATGTAAAACGGTACAGCCGCTGTGGAAAACCAGTTTGTCAGATCCTCTAAAAGAAACAGAATTACCACATGATCCAGCAATTCTGCTCCTGGGTACATACCCAAGAGATGTGAAAGCAAGGACACAATCAGATACGTGTTTCCCAGGGTTCCCTGCAGCACTTTTCACAATAGCCAAAACGTGGAAACAACCTAAGTGTCCGTCCGCAGCTGGATGGATAAACAAAGTGTGGTACATGTGTCCAATGGAATAGTGCGCAGCCAGGGCAAGAAATGAAGTCCTGACACGCACTACCGTGTGGATGAACCTGGAAAACATCACGCTGAGTGAAATAAGTCCGTCACAGAAGAACAAATACTGTCTGACCCCATGTGTACAAATGTCCAAAGTAGGCAAATGCATGGAGATAAAGGAATAGCGGTTGCCAGGGGCTGGGGGTTTTGGTGACAGCTAATGGCTGTGGACGTTCGTTTTGGAGTGATGAAAATGTTCCAGAATTAGATAGTGGTGATGGTTGCACAACTCTGTGAATGTGCTAGAAACCACTAAATTGTTTAAATGGGTGAATTTTATGGTATGTGAATTATATCTCAATTTTAAAAAGAAAGAAAACACGGAAGAACGCAAAGACAGCACCTAGAGACTATCCGTGCACCTCCCAGGCCCTTGTCTCCTTGCTCCCTGACCTGCAGAGGTGACGGTGCCCTGGTCACCTCCCCCCGAGGCACCTTCAGTGCGTGATCCCGCCTGAGTCCTTCCCTGTCTCACGCGTGTGTGGGGCTCTTCCCTGGGGGCCAGGCCAGCCGTGTACAGAGGGGACCGATGTGGGCAGAGCAGAGCCCCAGCTCTGGGGACTCACCCCTGGCCAGCAGCTCATCATCGGGGAGCACGCTGTAAGGTCCTGGTCACCAGGACAGGTATCGCCTGATGGCCTGGGAGGTCCTTGTAGGAGGAGGGGGCCTCAAGTGGTGGGAAGCACTGTGGGCAGGGGGCCTGGCAGTAAGGAGGCCGCCACTGAGGCTGGGGTGCAGGAAATGGCCCCAGAGCCAACTCAGGTGGTTCATACCTGGAAATGGGAAGTAAAAGTTGGGAGAATTTTGAGGGGTCAGTGATGTGTTCTGATTCATGCTTTTACATAAGACCGTCCTGGCTGCTGTTGGAGAGTGGACAGAGGGACGTCTTCCTCAGGATACATGGTCCTGGAAGAGTGTGGCAGGGCAGGCTCCTGCATGGCCTCCACTGCCCGTCCACGTTTACGCAGCTACCCAGTTACCCGGAAATGCGTGTTGCCATTTAAGAGTTTTCAGTCTGATAGATAGCAGTCTATAGCTCTCTTCTAAAACAGACTTTATTTTTTAGAGCAGTTTTAGGTTTACAGAAAAATTGTGCAGAAAGTAGAGTTCTTACATCCCCCTGCCCCCTGCAACTTTCTCCAGTCATTAACACCTGGTGAGGTGTCTTTGTTACAGTCGATGAACCAACATTGATACATTGTTATTCAGTAGAGTCCATGGTTTACATACGCATCTCATTTTGATTTGCTTCCTTGGGCTATCAGGGAGGGTGCATGTTTTTTCATGTCTTAACGCATGATGGCAAGACTTCATCTCACATACTTCGGACATGTTATCAGGAGGGGCCAGTCCCCGGAGAAGGACATCAAGCTTGGTAAAGTAGAGGGTCAGCGAATAAGAGGAAGACCCTCAACGAGATGGGCTGACACAGTGGCTGCAACAGTGGGCTCAAGCATAACAACGATTGTAAGGAGGGCACAGGACTGGGCAGGGTTTCGTTCTGTTGTACGGAGGTTCGCTATGAGTCAGACCTGACTTGATGGCACCTGACGACAAATGCGCGAGTTGGATTTTTTCTTCTGTGAATCACTTGTTCAGATTCTGTGCCCATATTGCATTTGAAAACTTTCTCTTTCCTCCTTGATTTATAAAGTCTTTTTATGTATCAAGGAGACGTATCACCATGTATACATTACAAGTATTTTCCCCTCTCCCCGATTGTCATTTATCAGTCTTTTCCCTGAAGGTTCCTACATGTGGAATGAAACTAAGAAAAATTTTTCCCACATCAAGTTGAAAATGATTCTTCTGTTTTATCATCCAGTACTTTTAAGATGCCCTCCATCTTCGGAAACCTTTCCTGGCTTAGGCCATGTTAGAACTTGCCGGCCCTTCCCCGAGGCGACCCCAGTGCAGTGAGGTGTACGGGTCCCCAGCTCACGGTCAGTGGCTGGGGCAAGGCCTGTCCGCCCTGGGCCATGGCCCCATTATGTGTAAACCGTGGCTCTTCTGTCCCGCTGCCTCTGCAGGGCTGCTCAGGGGACAGCGGGGGCCAGGGCCAGGTGTGCCCATGAAGTGGTTATCAAGGCTTATCACCTGCCTGGCCAGGTGAGCTCCAACAAGTCAGTCACACGCACCCCTGCCTCAATTTCCCCCTTGTTGAGCCGCCTGCTGCCCATAGTGGGCTGAATGGTGACAGTTCCACTTCTAAAACCTGTGAGTGTGACCTCTTTGGAAAGGGTCTCCACAGATGTGACTAAGGGTCCCAAGATGACATTGTCCTGGATTATCGGGGGTCCTGTGTTCACTGATGGTCCCCTTAAAGGAGACAGAAGAGGGGACACGGACACAGGGGACGGCCACGTGGAGACAGAGGCAGAGACGGCAGCGATGCAGCCAGAAGCCGAGCCCGGGGTCCCCAGAAGCTGGAAGAGACACGGAAGGATCCTCATGCAGAGCCTCTGGAGGGAGCACGGCCCTGTGACCACCTTGACTTTGGACTCTGGCCTCCAGAACTGAGAGAACGCATTTCTGTTGTTGCAGCCTCTCAGTCTGTGGTGATTTGTGGTGGCAGCCCCAGAAGTGGACACAATGTCCCCGTCACTTTGTAAGTTCCTGCCCCTCTGGCAGGCCATGGCCGAGCAGAGCAGAGGTGCATCCAGGTGTGCAGGGGGGCTTGGAGAACCTCCACAGAACCAACAACCCGTGAAGTGGGCAGGACTGACGGTTGAGCCGATGGCCACTGAGACCATGGCAGAGGCTTGGGCATTCGGTCAGCCCCCTGGGTGCCCACCTGGGTTCCATCCCTGACCCTCCTCAGCATGGCAGGCGAGCAAGGCTCTGAGAGGCCCGGGAATGCCCAGTGCCCTCGCCTGCCAAGGACCCACCTGAGCGGGGGTCCCGGTGCCGGGGTGCCCCCTCCTCCTGCAGACGTCCCACCGCGTCCGTCTCTCCCTGCAGGTATCACGTGGGGCAAGGTGGTGTCACTATACGCAGTGGCCGCGGGGCTGGCTGTGGACTGTGTGCGGCAGGCTCAGCCCGCCATTGTGCACGCCCTCGTGGACTGCCTGGGGGAGTTCGTGCGCAAGGCCCTGGCCCCCTGGCTGCGGAGGCGCGGAGGATGGGTGAGAGGGATGGAGCCCAGGGAGGGTAGGGTGGGGGTTGGGCTGCCTGGCATCCGGAGGGGCAGGGCGGGAGCGGGGCTGCCCAGCATCCAGAGGGGCAGGGGTAGGGCTTCTGGTCAGGGGATGCCCTGGAGTCATCTGTGGAAGGACAGCAGGCCCTCTTCCCCTGCTCAGCAGTGTCTGGCCTGCTGGACTTTGTCCAGCTGTCTCTGCCCCACCCCAGCCCCCTGTATCCCCTTCACCGTGTAAACCCCTGTCGGTGGGATTGGCCGGGTACCGAGGCCTTCAGTCCAGAGGGACCAGACCGCCTTGGTGAGACAGCTGCGCCCCCATGCACACTCCCCGTGACTCTGACTCCTGGAGGCTCTGGGCGGCGCTCCAACACTGCATTGCTAATCACTATCGCCTCCTTCCCCCCAGACTGATGTCCTCAAGTGCGTGGTCAGCACGGACCCCGGCCTCCGCTCCCACTGGCTGGTGGCCGCGCTCTGCAGCTTCGGCCGCTTCCTGAAGGCCGCTTTCTTCCTGCTCTTGCCGGAGAGATGAGCCGCTTGCCTCGGCAGTGGCCGCAGCCTGGCCCTCGGGGCTGGCGCAGGAGGCTTGCAGCCTGGAGAGTATCTCCCTCCTCCCCGCTGGCTGCTGGGTGGCCTGCCCTGAGCCCCTTCCCTCGCAGACCCAGGCCTGTGGGCATGGGAGAGGGGAGGGACCCCTGGGCTGGGGGTGGGTGCTGGGCCCCCGTTGTGTGGCCTCTCCTGGCATCCACTGTCCCCGTTTGCTGTGGGACCAGACAACTCAGGGCCCACTTCCAGGCCCAAAAGGGAGGGGGCTGGGAGGACTGTGCTCTAACTCAGCACCCTGTCCCCTGCAGCCCGTGTGGGGGCCCTCCCCCGATCTCCAGCTGTACTCGATCTCCACAGGCGATAGAGCCTGCACGTTCAGATGATGAGCACACTGGCCTGGTCAGAGCCCACAGTGGCTGTGGGGTCCTCTGACCCTTAACCAGAGTGTAAGGCTCATGCCTTGTCTGCTTGACCCAGGTCTGAGGAGGACATTGACCCTGGGCAGGGCCCTCGTGGCTGGAGGGGCGTGGTTCCAGGCTGGCACATTTGACCAATGAACGCAGAGCCCTGCTGATGAGGACAGAGCACTTGGTCCCAATAAAGTCTCATGTTAACGAGGGCGGCTCCATCTGCTTTCCTTGTGGCCCGCCTGCATACAGCTGCCCAGGACCTGCCCAATGGCCCCTCTGGGCTTGGATGCCTGGGAAGCTTAGCTCCTCAGGGTGCACTGAGTCCCGACTACGCTCCCCAGCAGGACACACGTGTGATGTCCTTCCTGGGGCACCCCAGCCAGCCCCCTCAGCCCCTGGCACTGGCTGCAGGTGCTCAGGAGAGGCATGCAAGCTGAACACACCACTAGCCAGTGGGACCCTGCTCCGTCCTTTGTAACTTCTTAGCCAAGAGGGATCTCAAGAGGGACCTGCCCATGTGGTCCCCGGGGTGAGGTGAGGCCTGGGCTGGCAGCCACCCCCGCACGCCAAGAGCTGCCCCCTGGGTCCTCCCCACCAGGCTGTCTGCTGGGGTAGAGCGGGGGCATGTGCAGGACAGACAAGGGGTCTGCAAAAAGCCAGCCCCAAATCATGAAGCTTAGGTCCCACTGGAAGGCTCCACACAGTAGTATTTTCACTTTATACGCTGCCACTGCACTTCATACAGTCTCCGCCTATAAACTAGTGAGGTAGGGGATTTGCTTGAAAATAACCCAGGCAGTATGAGAGGGTGGGATGGGAGGGATTCTGGAATTGGTTCTCTTAACTGGTTAGATTTTTTTTTTTCCATACATACATATATTTTATTGTGGTGAAAATATATACATATACAACAAAACATACACCAATTCAACCATTTCTACATGTATAATTCAGTGACATTGATTACATTCTTCAAGTTGTGCAAATATTCTCACTATTCCTTTCCAAATTATTCCATCACCATCAACAAACTCAATGCCCCCTAAGCAAAAATTCTCCTTTTCCCCCCTCACCCCTGGTAATCACTGATCTTTGGTTTCCGTATATTTGCTTATCTCATACAAGTGAGATCATACAGTATCTGTCCTTTTGCTACCAATTTCACTCAGTATAATGTTTTCAAGATTCATCCACGTTGTGTCATGTATCCGGGCTGCACTTCCCTTTATGGCTGAATAACATCCCCCGGGTGGTGCAGTGGGTAAGAGCCTGGCTACTAACGGAGAGGTCAACAGTTCAGATCCACTGGCAGCTCCTTGGAAACCCTATGGGGCAGTTCTGCTGTGTCCTACTGGGTCGTTATGAGTTGGAGTTGACTCAACGGCAGTGGGTTTTATGGGTATGTATACTCCACGTTTTGTTTATTCGCTCTCTTACCTGGTTAGATTTAAAGGCACAGTCGGAATCAACTCGGTGGCAGTGGGTTTGGTTTCGGTTTTAACAACTCTCTTTCAGTAGTGACGAGAGCACAGGTAGTCCAGGGTGGGATGTGGCGATAGAGATATGCAAAGTATCATTGCTGGGTCCGAAAAGCCAAACTCATTGCTGTTGAGTCGATTCTGGCTCACAGTGACCCTGTGGGACACTGATCCATAGAGTTTCCAAGGCTGTAATCTTTATGGAAGTAGACAGCCACATTTTTCTCCCTCGGAGTAGCTGGTGGATTCAAACGGCCAACCTTTTGATTAGCAGCTTAGTGTTTTGACCACTGTGCCACCAGGGCTCTGCTGGGTACTCCTAATAAAACACCTATATCAGGTGAGGTTCTGGGTGGCTGTGTATTTGACATCTTAGGTCATTTTCGTCAAACTAATGAGTATAATGAGATTGGCTGGTTGTTCCTAACTACACTAGAGAAAGTGGGGAAAGAAGATGAATTCAGGGCTTCAAAGTCCCAGCTCAAGTGATACATAAAAGACCTGAAAGTTGCTGTATGTGCCCTGAAAGCCTTATCTCCTGTAGCCACACAACTGAGATTGCTGAAGACCAGAGTCTCGTGAGCTGCTGAACTGCAATGGCAGTTGAATTCCCAACCTCACAAGCTGCTTAAGTGAGGGCATTGACTGGGAAGGAATGAGATACTGAAAGTTGGGATGGGGACATATGGGTAGATACTGGTAAAGCTGGGGACACTGACTGAACCCCAAATTCTGCTGTCTTCTTTGCCAGTAGAATCAGGCCTTCTACCCCTTGCTGAGAAAGTTAATCCTGCTTTGCCTGAGGAAACCGTTATGACCTCGCAGAAGGCAGATGCCTTGCAAGATACTGCTTGTCCTCAGGATCCACTCCACTATCTTTCTTTGCTTCTAGACCTGTAACTAGTCTCAAGTACCATGACGAGGTGTACTATACTCTGGAAGAACTACACAAATCTTCTGATGTATGCAGACAGAAATCCAGGGAATATGTGTGGGAATGAATATTAAGGGTGTGGGATAATGGTGGAAGGAACAAGTTGAATCAGTCGGAAATTACTGATACAGGCGTGCTAAGCAGAGACTCTTCATCTAGTGTTTCAGCTTGAGGGGTTAGAAAAGGATCTGTTTGTTTGGCTGGTTGGCGGAAACATGAACCCAAAGGTGGTCTACACTAAATGAAGTTTAAATGCCAGAACTGCCTTGGTGTACTACAGAGGAAGGTGTCCAAAGGTTTAGGGAGATTGGAATGTTAGAGTAGATTTATCATGTTTGACCCACCACCCAGGGAGCGCCCAGAGGACACATCTCTCACCACGACTGTGAGGAATAAATGTGTGAGAGCCCCAGCATCCTTGAAGAGCGCTGTGATCAATCTCTTCTGTAGGTCAGATACTACAGTGGGAACTGCTACCACAGGACTTACAATGGGGGTGACTGAATCCCAGGATGGGAGGGGCCACGTGGCAGCAGAAATCCCCAAAGACAAGATGGGCATGGTTCCCATAATGGACAGCAGAGTCAAAGCAGCAATCAGAATACAGGTATACCTTGGAGAGGTTGTGGGTTTGGTTCCAGAGCACTGCAATAAAGTGAGTCACACAAAGTTTTTGGTTTTCCTGTGCATATAAAAGTTATGCTTACACTATGCTGTAGTCTATCGAGCATATGCATTACGTCTAAAAAAACAATGTACATACCATAATTAAAAAATACTTTATTGCCAAAAAATGCTAACCATCATCTGAGCCTTCAATGAGTCATATGTTTTTGCTGGTGGAGGGTCTTGCCTCGATACTGGTTGCTGAAGGTTGGGGTGCCTGTGGCAATTTTCCTAAAATAAGACAACAATGAAGTTTGCCGCATCAATTGACTCTTCCTTTCATGAAAGATTTCTCTGTAGCATGCGATGCTGTTTGACAGCGTTTTACCCACAGTAGAACTTTCAAAATTGGAGTCAGACCTCTCAAATCCTGCCTCTGCTTTATCAATTGAGTTTATATAATATTCTAAATCCTTTGCTGTCATTTCAACCATGTTCACAGCAACTTCACCGGGAGTAGATTCCATCTCAAGAAACCACTTTCTTTGCTCACAAGAAACAACTCCTCATCTGTTAATGTTTTATTATGAGATTGCAGCAATTTAGTCACATCTTCAGGCTCCACTTCTAATTCTAGTTCTCTTCTATTTCCATCACATCTGCAGTTACTTCCTCCAGTTAAGTCTTGAACTCCTCAAGGTCCTCCATGACAGTTGGAATCAACTTATTCCAAACTCCTGTTAATGTTGATCTTTTGACCTTCTCCCATGAATCGCGAATGTTCTTAGCATCTAGAATGGTGAATCCTTTCCAGAAGGTTTTCAATTTACTTTGCCTAGACCCATCAGAGGAATCACTATCTATGGCAGCTATAGCCTCACGAAATGCATTTCTTAAATAATAAGACTTGAAAATAGAAATTACTCCTAGATCCAAGGGCTGCAGAATGGATGTTGTGTTTGCAGGCATGAAACCATTAATCTCCTTGTACATCTCCATCAGAGCTCTTGCGTGACCAGGTGCACTGTCAATGAGCAGTCATATTTTGAAAGCAATCTTTTTTTCTGAGCAGTAGGTCTCAAAAGTGGGCTTAAAATATTCAGCAAACCATGTTGTAAACAGATGTGCCATCATCCAGGCTTTGTTCTTCCACTTACAGAGCACAGCATAATTCTTAAGGGCCCTAGGATTTTCAGAATGGTAAATGAGCACTGGCTTCAACTTAAAGTCACCAGCTGCATTAGCCCCTAACAAGAGTCAGCATGTCCTTTGAAGCTTTAAAGCCAGGCATTGACTTCTCCTCTCTAGCTATGAAAGTCCTAGATGGCATCTTCTTCCAGTGTAAGTGCGGTGTGATGGTTCACTTTTGTGTGGCCTTTCTTGTCATGGTCTTGTGGCTTCTGCCCAAGTAATTGGGTGGGACTGTGCAAATAGGGTAATCGTGGCCCACCAAGGGGATTGGTCAGTTTTACCATCCCACTGGGCTTGCAATAAGCCATCCCAGAGGTGGGAAAGAGAGGATCCCACCATTACCAAGGAAGAACAGCCAGGAGCAGAGAGCATGTCCTTTGGACCCAGGATCCCTGCGCTGAGAAGCTCCTGGGCCCAGGAGACAGAGAACACTGAAAACAGCAAGATGCGGTGGCAGAGAAATGGTGGCAGGAGGGACGGCAGGAGACAGTGCAGTGGCT